CTATTTCCTTGGCCTCGGCCTCCGCGCGATCCTTACGCTCTTGAAGTAGCGCAAGGGCCCCCATGTAGGCATCCACCATCAGCGAGTCAAACCCAGCCGCCGCAGGATCAAACGGAGCTCCAAAGTGACGCTCAAAGACCGGGAGATTCTCAGCCACAAGGCCGATCATACCTTTAAAGTAGGTGTCTTCGGCAAGATCGTTGAGGAAGCGCTCTCCGGTAGGGGTGGCCTGTAACAATTTGATGCGATTCAGATAAGGATATGGGCAAACAGCTAGATACTCCCCGACGAACTTGGGAAAGAGCTTCCTGACCATGACCTGTACGGCACCAGTATAATCCTTGGACTGCTGGAATTCGATGGACCCAGACTCCTTGATCTTTGAGACATCAGCCTCATAGATCGGAACATGATTGTCTGCACCAGTGCGACGAACCTCAATCCTGGCGTGGGAAACAGCCCACATACGGCTATGCAGGTCCACAAGCTCGGCCTTCTGCTTCCTGATGAGCTCTTTTTGGGAGGCATTCTCCTGGACGAGCTTATCATGTGCCTCAGCCTTCTCTTGAAGGGACCCAACCTTACCCCGAGCATTCTTCAGCAGGGCATCGCACTCAGCCCGCAGGGCGGCCATATCCCTCCCCTGCTGCTCGAAGGCCATCCGGGCTCTATGAAAATAAAGGCCAGCCTTGTCTAAAGTGCTTTGGCCACACTCAAGAAGATCTTCTGGGGTCTTCTGAGCGGCAAAGTCTTGAGGCACCTTGAGATTAAGCCCGCACCAAATGGAGGAGGCGGTCTGACCGAATAGCATCATGGACTCCTTGCGAGGGCCGAACCCAGAGAATTCAATAAGGCCAAGGGAGGACCTGCTGGCCTCTGGAGGTGAAGAAGAGCGGATATCATGAGCACCTTCATCCCTAAGACGATGAACGTTTGAATTCTTTGGCGGAGATGGAGGGGGTTTGCTCTTAGAAAGTTAGAAGCTTGTTTCCGCTTAAGAGGGCTCCCAGGCTCCTCATCAGAATCATCAGCTACAATAATGGCCTTGGAGGCCGTTCCCACATGACATGATCTTTTTTAAAAGGGGCCAAGATTTGAAGCACCCTCGGTCCGGGACCTCGTCACCCGGAGCTCGACCTTGGGGACGAGCGGCCTCCTCTCCTTATCTTGATTCTTTCCTTGACGGCCAGGGATAATGGGGATATTATTGGAACGTCCCATGGAGGAAGGATGCGGAAAAACTCCTGCAGAAAAGGAACTAAGACGTTCAGAACCATTACAACGGAAAGATGATAGGACAATACAAGTACAAACGGACGCACCTAATCCTGCCCGAGCTACGAAAGGCTCGGCCACCAGCAACCGGAGGTTCTGGATGCCAAGGCCGGCTATACGCTTGGCATATCCGAGCTCCTCGTCCGTCATAGGCGGCGGGCCGGACTTCACCGGATAAGCATTCCATCTATCAGAAAATGGCATCGGGGAGCCTATTTCAGCGAGGAAGAACCGCTCCTGCCAGCCGTCCGGATTCCCAGCGTTATTCGCGAACAGGACCATGGGCGGGCGGGTGACCAGGGTAAGATACCCCGTACGCCCATACGGGGACAACCGGAAGAAATGATACAACAGATCCACAATGGGGGCCAGGCTGAAATGGAAATTGAAACATTTATATAAGACGTCCAAAAAAGAAAAGTGAGAAAATTACAACGAGATCGGAGGGAATAACATAAACTTGTGTAGGCCCTCTAGGGGAAATCCAAATAATGAATATTACTAGAAGTTGAAAACTTGAAATATGTCTATATTCAAAATGTATAGATTTATCTAAAAGACTAAGAGCCCGTTTGGTGATACCATTTTTTGGCTTATCAACTTATCAACCAACTTTTTCACCAAACACATAAATTTTGATTTCACGTGCTGAATTGTGTAATTTTCTTGTTGTATTGGTTGAAGTTACTATAGATAATCATTTTACCTATTTTTCATATATATTTTTCTTTAATATACTAATAAAAAAGATTGGAAATATAATTTTTTAATAAATCATCGGCATAATTAGCCAATCCAACCACTTCGACCAGACTTTCTTAAAATTCAGCAGAATCAGCCGATCCGGCCAATTTCATTGTTACCAAATAGGCTCTAAATGAAATTTTGAATGAAATTTTATGTTCATAAAATAGCTCCCACTTTGGATATTGATGATATCCCATGTTTAAAAATTGACTATGTACAACCACAGCTATTTTAATTTGGATGGGATCATGGGAGGTGACAGACTATTAAATACCGAGTATTTAGAAAAAAAGGTATTCATGTATGTGTATCTGTTGGTTGGAGCCTTATGTATTTCGTATGCCAGAAGTCACTGGTCAGAACCACTGTTTTTCGTAAACTTAGAAACTCTATAAAATTCCCCGTAAATATGCCATGCAAACCCCAAACTCCCGTCCTTGTAAAACACCGTATTCAATTCCTAGGGTTCCCGCACGAAAAGAATGGTGGTTTCGAGCGGTGGTCGAGGTTTCCGTGGCGGCGGAGGTGAGGATTATCATTCTATATATAATTATCATTTTTTTTCGTGCTGATCAAACTGTGAAGTCTTCTTGAGTCTTTCATTTTGTTAATTTCATTGATGATGTTTAGCATGATTTTTGCAGGGGGGCATTACTCCTCATCTCGTTCCAAAAGTAAGTCTTCTTGAGTCTCTATAGTCACCCAGACAAACGTTTACCTTTTGCAATTACTCCCTCCGTCCCGTTGGAATGTTCCCGCTTTCCTTTTTTGGATGTCCCAAAAAGAAGTTCCCATTTCCCTAAACGGAAAGTTATCCTACATCAAAACAGTGTCAAACAGTGCCAAACAGTGTCCAAACAGTGTCAAAACAATAAAATTTACCCCTGGTAAGTTTATTTCCTTAATATGTGTGTAGGTCAAACCGGGGAACATTCCAACAGGAGGGAGGGAGTATAATTTATGCAATCAAGCTGATAGGCTTTGTTCCCCTGCTTGGTAAATTTACTTGCATTACAGTTCATTTTCTTTCATTGATTCTCTTAAATAGGCGATTCTTTTGTAAGATATGCTGCAGCTGGCAAGGGATTTAGCTTTGGCTCTGGTTTTTCCTCAAACTTGTCACCTGACGAGCTTGAAAGTAAAATTCGTCGTTGCGCGGGCCTCATAGAGTATTATGAAAGGGTAATGATGATTGCCTTAAACCTAAGATGCATGGGATTTAGCTTTGGGTCTGGTTTTTCCTAGTTAGTACTATCTCCGTTCTCTTTTAGTTGCAACATTGAACTTTTTGCACTATTCACATGTTCTATTTTGACTACATTTTATTAATTGATGTATAATAAATTAAATTTTTAAAAAATATTGTTAAATTCTTCTCATTCTAAATTTTCAAAATATGATTTTTTTAATTTTTTTACTAATAACGAATAAAAGATCAGGGTTTTAAATAGCGGCCCGCTACCACTATAGCGGCCACTATATAGCGGTCGCGGTAGGGGCCGCTACCGCTACGGCCCGCTATTCCGCTGTGAATTCCAAATCACGGGAAAAGCCCGCTACAGCCCGCTACATGCAATGACCCGCTATTGACATTTCCGGCAGTACGTCACGAGCGGGTTGATGTGTAAATGTGTCTATGTTGTGTAAATGAACTCTTAATGTTATAAGTGTTCAAACAAATATTCACAATGTTTGTATTAACTTCAACACTCATTAAATATATGTTTTGCGCAATTGAAAATATTTCACGCCGCTGCAATCGCTACAGTCGGCTATAGGCCGCTACCGCGATGACCATTACCGCTACGGCTATTTAAAACCTTGTAAACGATATTGATGGTCAAACTTGTGCATTGACAAACGTGAAATGTTGACTGTTGCAATTAAAAAGGAACGGAGGGAGTACTTGTTTCGATGTGATTTCTAGGAACTTTACCTTGTGGTCATGTTTAACTTCTTTAAGCCTCCCTTACTCCCTAGCTCTTTTCGTATTTGTACTTGTTCCGCCCCCTCCTTTTGTAACTCTTCCTTGCTTGAAAGTCACTCGGTCTGAGCTGTTGTGTCTTTTTTACTTCTTTAAAGAAATTGCGCTTTTGGTTAGAAACTTAGAAAAGAAAAAAAGTACTACGTAGTTCGATTGGGTTTCAGGCTGTTCCCTAGGTAAGATTTTCCATATGTGCAGGGATGGATTTAGGGGGGTTTCAGGCTGTTCCCTAGGTAAGATTTTCCATATGTGCAGGGATGGATTTAGGGGGGGCGCAGGGGGCGACCGGCGACCGCCCCCTTGGACATTCAATTTTTTTTTATCATATATGTAATATTTTCATAAAACTTTCATAATTTAATTAGATTCGCCCCCCTTAGCTTTTAATTTTCAAAATTAGTACTCCCTCCGGTTTTTATTAAACTTCACACTTTTCTTTTTGGGATGATCTAAAATAAACTTCACACTTCCTTATTTCCTTTTTTGGCAAAGAAATCTGCACCAAAACAGTGCCAAACAGTGCCAAACAGTGTCAAACAGTGTCTCAACAGTGCCAAACAGTGCCAAACAGTAACTCCACAGTGTACTCTACAGTAAAGTCAAATTTCTTTTCTTAATTTGTGTGAAGTCAAACTGTGAAGATTAAAAAAAACCGGAGGGAGTATATAGTCTTACATAATGTAATACTTAATTGGAGATTTAAAAGAAGAAACATCTAAAATAATTTACATAACTTAAACAAATAAACAATAGAGTAACTCGTTATTTAAGATTTAGGATACTTATTATATAAGAATTCCTAGTTTTGTAATGTTTAATTATCTTTATTAGATAACAAGTACTGGATTTCATAAAACATATATCAAACAATATTAAATACCAGACACACTAATTACACAATTTTTAGATCACGTGAAATGAATCCAAAATATAAATATTTATAGACATTAGATTACATAATGCATTTACTTCTTGCTTTCTAAAAATAATTTATTGCATGGATAATAAACTCTAAATTATTATAGAATTAATAAAAATATTAAAATATAATATGCACCATATATGTGTGTGTGTGGTGCATATTATTCTAAAAATAACAATCTCATACATACTAGTATACTTTTTTTTTTCTTTTTTTTTCATACATACTAGTATACTACTATTGTAATATTAAGAAAACTTCTCATGAGTCATGACTCACGAACACCCTCCTTGGTGGACAAAAATTACAATTCAATAACCGATTCATGAGGTTAAACAATGTAGAAGTTATTAAAAATGTATTGGTTGATGTCTTTGTCATCGTCTAAACTTAGAATGTAATAGATTTAAATGTCGTTCGGGATGTGCATGTATTAATGTCATTTTTTGAATAAAAATAGCCGTATAGCCCTACAATAGGGGAAAAATTTCGCCCCGCTATACTAGGGACAAAAATTTCACCCCACTACACTAACAAAAAAAAATTCACCCCCTACACTAACGAAAAATTTCGCCCCCCTTGACTCAGAATCATGGATCCGTCCCTCCATATGTGAATGCTTTGGATAGGTAAATTTCCGATTAAACTACACATCACAGGGGCAGTTTTCAAAGTCAAATGTCAGAAGTGTAATTAATCATCGTGTTTAGAACTTAGTTTATTATCCACAATGAGAGCCAGCTTTATCATTCCATTTTTTCTTTGAAGCAGAACACTTCCTTGTTTGACTTCATATCACAAGGGCAAACCATGAAGTCAAAAAGAAAAAAATGATTAATTAACAACCATGCAAGGAATTTTATTCAAGAACTAAAGGAGCATTTGATATCTAAATAGCTTCATATGATATCTGAAATTATTTTAGTTTGCTAGCTTAATAAACACTTGCCTCTCTTTACCCTCCTCTGATATTCTGTTTTAATCCCCTATATCCTTACAATGCGGACATACTAAATGCCTAAATCACTTTTTTTTTTTTTTTTTGCACACAAAATGAAAATTTTATTAATGAAGAAGTCAAGAAAAATACATGAAGGGAAAGTCAAAAGAAAAGAAGGGAAAAGGGAGAAAGAGTAGAGAAAAATAAAAACGAGAAAATAGCCCAACCCGAAGTACAAATAAGATCCCCTCCCAAGAACATCCTAAAACTTAGACACGAAGTCAATATTCCACCCGAGTTTGGGATCTAGTCTTCATATGATGAGACCGTTGATATTTTTTCCGGTACATCTTAATTTGAGTATTCAAATTCTCTGTGGGCAGACAGTTTTCTTTCGTAACCAATAGAGCTTTGTTGCAAATATCATCATTCGTATCGGAGTCCCAAAGGTCTTCCATCGATGAAATAGGAGTTCTCTTCTCACTCTCTGAAGCATGACCTAAAAAATCATCCCCGAGTGTGTACATAATGGTTCGTCAAATACCCCTTCACTCACAAAATCTTCAGAGTAATGGTTACCTGTGAAAACATCCCCCGAATTTGCACACATAGAAGTTTTCTTTTCTTCAGTAGACAATTTCTGATTTTGTAACGAGTCGGTAAGGATTATTCTGAATTCTTTGAGTAGAAAGTGCGAGAGAGAATCCACTCCGTTAGTCATAGCATTCTGAAAGAAATCTTTAATGATTGCTAAAGATGGGTCAAGCCCAGGATCAGATCTAGTTGTGTCCTCAATAGCAGTCACCTCCAAAGAGTTATTTAAAGAAACTGAGTGAATAATATCGACTTGTAGGAGTGCTTTCGAAATTGAAGAATCCATTTGACAAGTATGATGTCTATCCCCATCCAGTTTTTGTGTAAGGGGGTCCGCCCATGTGTTACCTGATAAACTCTCACATGTATCATGCCTAAATCACTTTTATAACAATTCTTTTTGCATTTTTGTATTTGAAAGTGAATGAAGTTCTATATATAAATATGTTTTCGTAAATTTAATGCCTTGTAAATATCAAGTGCTGCCTGTTTCACTGTTTCTTGATAGGTGATATATATACACTTCAGCATTCCTAATGTTTTGATTGGTAAAAATATTGCAGTGTGAGTTTTTTTACCGGAGAGGTTTGAGTAATAGTTGTTGGGTTTTTCCTTTGTTTTTGACCCATGAGGAAAGCCCAAGTATTGAGCCCATTAAAGTCTTCTTTGACTTTGTGTGTTTGGGAGCTAATAATCAAAAAAATATGGGTCAGCCACTAACATACATTCGATGGACAGAAAGAGAGCAGTAGAAAAGAGAGCATAAGTCGAAAACATGAGCTGAGTGTGCTCATCCCGTTTTTCCGTTTCCCGGAGATTGAACCGTTGGATCGTCGTGATTTTTGGACAGCAGCTTCACAGCATCTGGGCCAACATTCTGGACGGTGGAGATCGGGTTTTGAGGTCCGGAGGTCGGATTTCGTTGGTCTGGACAGTAGCTAATTTTCTGGTGATATTTTTCTTATCTTGGCTCTATTTGATTCCATACACCTTGATGTGCTTACTTCCAAGGATATGATGAATGTGTATGCCTCTAGTATTATCTAGAGAAGACTTTGTACTGCTCCTTTGATGATGATAGTGGATTTAAGCGGCCAAAATGGTCCCGTGGTTTTTCCCTAGTTAACGGGTTTTCCACGCTAAAATTCCGGTGTTTGTGTGTGGTGTGTGCTTACTGTTTTAGCTGAATATATTGGTGTGTCGCAGCAACTTGTGTGTGTTCTAATTGCATTAAGAACACCCTATTTGTTTGCATCCTCAAAGATTCATTCAAGTTGGGGAAAGTTTAGCCAAACGGAGATTAATTCCATTTTATTAGTTCCGTTTGTGGCTGTTTTTCCCCATCAAATTGGTATCAGAGCCGGGTTCTTCTGTATTGGGTTAGACTTGTTTGAATGATGGAAGCAAACACAAGTAGGATGATCAATTTGAATGGTTCTAATTATCATGTTTGGAAAGGCAAAATGGAAGACCTACTTTATGTGAAGGATTATTATTTGCCTGTGTTTACTACTGATAAACCTGAGAGTAAAACAGATGCAGAGTGGAATATTTTGCATAGACAGGTTTGTGGGTATATTCGCCAATGGGTTGATGATAATGTTTTGAACCATATTAGCGGGGAAACTCATGCTCGCAGTTTGTGGAACAAGCTTGAACAGTTGTATGCTCGAAAGACCGGGAACAATAAATTGTTCTTAATAAAACAGATGATGAGCTTGAAATACCATGATGGAACTCCTGTTACTGATCATTTGAATTCTTTTCAGGGAATCATAAATCAACTTGCAGGAATGGGTATCAAGTTTGAAGATGAGATACAAGGCTTGTGGCTCCTTGGCACTTTACCGGACTCATGGGAGACTTTTAGGACATCATTGTCCAACTCTGCACCAGATGGTATTATCACCATGGAATTAGCTAAAGGCAGTGTTTTAAATGAAGAGATGAGAAGAAAGTCACAAGGTTCCTCTTCACATTCTGATGTCTTAGTTACAGAAAGCAGGGGGAGAAGTCAGAGTAGAGGTCCAGGTAACAAAGGGAAGCATCGAAGTAAATCCAAAGGAAAATTTGCTGATTTTGAGTGCTATCATTGTGGTAGAAAAGGCCACACAAAACGGTTCTGCAGGCAATTGAAAAAGGAGAAGAAGAAGAGCGATTACAACAATCAAAAGAACCATAAGAAAGATGAGGGTGGTAATGGCAATGTTGAAGTTAACACTACTACCGATGAGTTCCTTATTTGTTCTGATCTTGATATGGTCAACATTACACATGATGATTCCAGTTGGGTTGTTGATAGTGGTGCTACGTGTCATGTAACATCACAGAGGGATTTTTATTCATCTTACACTCCAGGTAACTTTGGTAATGTTAGGATGGGTAATAATGGACTATCAAAGATTGTAGGCATCGGAGATATTTGTTTGAAGTTTGACACTGGGATAGAGTTGGTTTTACATAATGTAAAACATGTTCCAGATATGAGACTTAATTTGATCTCCGCAGGCTTACTTGATGATGATGGTTACAGCAACAACTTTGGTAATGGAATATGGAAACTCACTCGTGGTTCTTTGATCGTGGCTAGAGGTAAAAGATGCTCAAAGTTGTACATGACACATCCGAAGATCTTCAAGGATAGGGTCAATGCTGTGGTGAATACTGACATGACTGATTTATGGCATAAGAGACTTGGTCACATGAGTGAAAAGGGGATGTCTCTTTTGTTGAAGAGAAATGTGTTACCGGGTGTGCATGATATTCATTTAAAGAAGTGTTCGCACTGTTTGGCAGGTAAACAGAACAGGGTTTCCTTTAAGAGCCATCCTCCTTCCAGGAAGGAGAGTATACTTGATCTGGTGCATTCTGATGTTTGTGGTCCTATGAAGACTAGGACACTTGGTGGTTGCTCCTACTTTGTCACATTCATTGATGATCACTCCAGAAAGGTTTGGGTTTATACCTTGAAATCTAAAGATCAAGTATTTGAGGTGTTTAAGCAGTTTCATGCCTCGGTTGAGAGACAGACTGGAAAGAAGCTCAAGTGTATTCGGACAGATAATGGAGGGGAATACATTGGACCCTTTGATGCTTATTGTAGAGACCATGGTATTCGACATCAAAAGAGTCCTCCCAAGACACCGCAGTTGAACGGATTAGCAGAGCGGATGAACAGAACTTTGATGGAGCGTGTCAGATGTTTGTTGTCGCATGCAGGGCTGCCAAATTCATTCTGGGGAGAAGCTTTGAATACAGCGGTACATGTTATTAATCTAACTCCTTGTGTTCCTTTGTCTTTTGATGTACCTGACAGGGTTTGGAGTGGCAAAGATGTTTCTTACCGTCATTTGAGGGTCTTTGGATGCAAAGCTTTTGTGCACATTCCTAAAGATGAAAGATCAAAGCTTGATGTGAAGTCCAAACCATGTGTTTCTTGGGTTATGGCCAAGATGAGTTTGGTTACAGATTATATGATCCAGTCCACAAGAAACTTATTCGAAGCCGAGATGTTGTGTTTGTGGAAGATCAGACCTTGAAAGATGTCGAGAAGAAAGATACAGTTCCTCAACATAATGATGATGTTACTGATTTGGATCCAGTGCCTCCTCAGCATGTAGAACCACCTCTTGATAATGATGTTCAGAATGATGAACAACATGATACTGATGCTCCAGAACAGCCAGAGGTGGATGAAGAATTTCATTCAGAGATACCAGTACCAGACGTGCCACCATTTATCCCACTTAGGCGGTCTACAAGAGATCGTCATCCTTCCACCCGTTTTTCACCTAATGAGTATGTCTTACTCACTGATGGGGGAGAGCCTGAGTGTTATGCAGAGGCCATGGAAGATGAGCACAAAAGGGAATGGGTTGAAGCCATGCAAGATGAGATGAATTCCTTACATGAAAATAATACATTTGAGTTGGTGAAGTTGCCTAAAGGCAAGAGAGCTTTGAAGAACAAGTGGGTCTACAAAGTGAAGACTGAAGAGCACACCTCACAACCTAGGTACAAGGCTAGATTGGTGGTCAAAGGGTTCAGTCAGAGAAAGGGTATTGATTTTGATGAGATTTTCTCTCCGGTCGTGAAGATGGGATCTATTCGTGTTGTTCTGGGTTTGCTCTAAAACGCCTTCAAAAAGATTGCGGTATGATTGTTGATATATTATGAAAATTGCTTTGTCGCCATAAGACATAATATGTTACGTTACAAGGTTTAGTTTATTAAACTAGTGAGTTAATTTATACAAATATATGATACCATCACTCAGAGTCCAGCCTTTTTCTTTCCCCACTTTTCTGGAACCGTAAGAGTTAGTGATGCAAGCAAGCTATATTGTTGCTCACAACTTCTATTCAGGTTTGCCTCAACGTACATATGATACTATCTCTCAAAGTAGACGTTTCTTTAAAATTCTTATATATAGAGTTGTCAAGGACATGCTCATTATTGGGAAAAATATTTGCCTTTGGTTTGTATACCACCATTCTACTCAGAGTTAGGGGAATAATCATTTAATATATCCACATTCATCATTCATGTGAGGATTTTTATGCAAATGCTTTTATTTTTTGCATGGCAATAAGGATGTTTGTACTTGGATTGATTTTAGTCACAGGACTTAAACAGACTAGACTAGATTTTGACAGTTATAAAACACACGCAGCCCGAACATTTACGAGACCAACTCAGACCAAACAAAACTAGACTTAAATAGACTAGACTAGAAATTTTCAATCCAATTAAAAGCATCTTAATTAAGTATATTGCAAAATTTAAGAAAAAAAGGATTGATTGAAGATATTGTTCCCTAAAGAATAAGAAAAGAGATTAGGTGGGAATGTGGGATGACACAAAATTTGGAACACATTTTTGTAACTACATTAGTGCTCCTGTTGGATTGACCATCATTAGATATGACGATAAAATTCTCATACAACTCTAATCTGAAACTCTAGAAACAACAACAAATAAGTGTTCATAATTAAAAGTTTAAAACTAAGAAGATAAAAGCTCTATGTCTAACAAGTAGCTTTAAACATCACTTTAAAAAATCACAATGCAGCAGGCGACAGGGCCAAGAACAAGCCAAGAATATTGCAGATTCATTCCGGGATAGTGAGCCCAATTATGCTGGAAAACAAAGTGGCTAAAAGAAAACATAAGTTGTAGGAAATTTTAATCTGTAATCTTAAGTGTTACAGATTGATCGGAGAACTTCTACGGAGACGGAGTATTTATTAGTTAGTACTATTTTTTTTCTATTTCAGTTTTAGGCAACTTCCTAATTATACTATTATTCCTATTTCAGTTTTAGGCAACTTCATAATTATACTATTATTATTATTATTCCTATTTCAGTTTCATATACAACTTCCTAATTATTAATTGTCTTTAGGACTCTTGTATTAGGCTCTATGTAAGGTCAATATTATTATTATTATTATTATTATTATTATGATTATGATTATTATTATTATTATTATTATTATTATTATTATTATTATTATTATTATTATTATTATTATTATTATTATTATTATTATTATTATTATCAATAAAGTACTTTTGCAAGAATTAATTTGTGTGTCTTGGCTAGGTAGGACATTAATTTAATTCCTACTTAAGATTTCAATTCTTCCGGAATCATAGATTCCTTCCCAGCCAAATACCTTCCCTCTGAATTCCTGAAACACTCTCGTTCTTTGATGAGGTCATTAACACATGTTCTTAACAATTTTTTCCTTCGTGTGTAGACTGTAGACATTGTGTAACTTGCAATAGATTTCTAGAATCCTTTCTTTGAGCGGCATTTTTTGTTATCGTATTACGATACATGTCTCTTTGTTGAGCAAATCTCTATCTCTACTTCGTTTGGTTTTTGGAAACAGCTGAATTCAAGTCTGTTTGGGGTGAATGGTGGTCACGTGAACTGAAGAAAGACTTTTGCGAGAGACAAGCAAGCCAATTCCAAAGGGTAATATTTCTTACCACTCTATAAAGATTGAACACTAAGTCAACCTATCTTTAAGGGAAAATTGTCAAATAGGCACTCATATATAAGCTAAATGGTAATTTGGCCCTCTTACTATAAAAACATCCAATTAAACCCTCAAACTATCAAAACACACTCAATCGATTACCAACCACTTAACCCATTACCTGGTGATGTGACATGGCGTAAATTTTCCCCTGCCTTTTCACCAATAACCTTGTCTACCCACAAGGAAAGTGAAGCACTTTCTATTTAGCTGTGATCGGGAACCATGGCAGCCAGAACTCAACTTCTCCACCATTGGTGTTTATTCATTTAGCTGTAGATGTGCATCTGAGAGATTGTATTATTTCTTAGCAGTAAGATCCAATAAAAGTAAAATTCTGCATCAAATGAGTTTCAAACTCTATCAAATTGAGATAATAGAGTGCACAGAAAAATGAGGAAGAAACTAAAAATAAAGGGAAAAACAAGATGAAAAAACCAGAAGGTGATAGAGTCGTGTGTACTGATGGCTAGGGGAAGAAAGGAAATAACATAAAAATGTGATCGAGAAGAACAAATGAAAGTGGAATAATTTTTATAAAGGAACGAAAGGCTTGAGAAGGCAAAAATGCTTGAGAAGACAAAAGCCTGCAAACACATACTACCCCTTCTCTTTTAATTGCAATATTAGATTTTTTGCACTATTCATATATTCTACTTTGACTATATTTTATTAATTAATGTATTATAAATTAATTTTTTTTAAAAATATTGTTAAATTCTTCTCATTCTAATTTTTCAAAATATGAATTTTTTAAATTTTTTACTAATAAGGAATGAAAGATGTTAATGATCAAAATTGTGTGTTGCCAAACGTGAAATATTGACTGTTGCAATTAAAAGGGAACGGAGGAAGCATATAGAATGAGAGAAGGAACGAAAAGCACTTCGTGTTCCACTTCGACCTACATAATTCGACTTTTTTTCTTTTGGATTCGTGACTCAAATCAGAAGAAGACTCACATTCTTCTTCTACATCATCTTTCTTCCAACTCGACCGACCTTCAACCTTTATCACTAAAATCTTCTAAATCAGCTTCTATGGCCGCCATCAATTACTATTGAGAAAAGGATCATATAGGGAGGGTCTCAAACTTACATAAAAAGGTCAAATAAGGCCTTATATAGGATGCTCTGTCCGGCGACGTCATTTGAAGCGGTTCCCGGTGAAATTTTTTGATGAAAATTTGTAAGCATCTTATTCATTTAGTCTAGTTTTTTTTACTAATCCATTAAGTCTAGTTTACTCATACCAAATTTGAACTAAAATTTCAATCAGGAAGGCGTTCAAATGAATTCTTCAAGATAACTGCGTAGTTATCTTCAAGAATTTATTTGAATGCCTTCTCGATTGTAGTTTTAGCTGAAATTTGGTATTAGTAAATTAGATTTAATGAATAAGATACTCAAAAAAATTCATCAAAAAATTCCAGCAGGAACCGCCCCAAATGGCAGCGTCCGAACAGAGCCGCTTATATAAGCTCTTATTTGACTTTTTAATGTAAGTTCGAGGCCCTATTTGACCCTTTTCCCATTACGATCTACTCCCTCTGTCCCCTTATATTGTCCCGTTTTACCTTTTTGGGAAGTCTCACTAATATTGTCTCATACCATATTTGGTAAAGTTTGTGTGACTCTAAATCATTCTTACTTTATCAATTAATATCAACCACACAAACTCACTTTTCTTAATAATCGTGTCACCCTCCCCGTACCAATATAAAAGAGACGGAGGTAGTAGTATTTACTAGTACTGAAGAGCAAAGATAAAAAGGGGAAAAGCTTCCATGGCCGGTGTCTTAAGATTATTACTGAAGAGGAAAGATGAAAAGGGTAAAGGTAGGTGTGGATTGGAATAGAGGATTAAAATTGATTTTGTTTATAAAAAATATAAAAGAAATATAGCGAAAATTGTTTCAGCTATACTGTTCCTAAAAAATAAAAAATTGCCACATAGGAGTCCAGACGAGCATACTAAATGGCTAACTGGTTGCTAACTTTCTAAAACGCCAGATTGGTCATTTTGATAATTTGGGGGTTTGATTGAGTAATTCCATAGTACAAAGGCTTAGAAGCTTATTTTATTCAGATCAGATCAGATTAGAAAAATTCAGATCAGATCAGATTAGAAAGATTCAGATCAGATCAGAATCATTCAGATCAGATCAGAAAGATTCAGATCAGATCAGAAACATTTAGATCAGATCAGGAACATTCAGATAAGATCAAGAACATTCAGATCAGATCAGAAAAGTTAAGACATGATTTATCCCTTTTATTATAATAATAATTATAATAATATTAATAATTATAATAATAATAATAATAATTATTATTATTATTGTTGTTGTTGTTGTTGTTGTTATTGTGATTATTATAATTACTATTATTATTGATATTATTATTAGTATTATTATTCTTATTATTATTATTATTATTATTAATTTGATTACTATGATTACTATGATGATTATTATTATTATGATATTTATTATTATTATCATGATTATTATTATTCTTACTACTATTATGGTTGTTGTTGTTATTGTTATTAGTTTTGTTTTCGTTATTATCATATTATACGGAGTAATTACAATTAAAATTATAGAAATAAATATTATAATTATAATTATAATTATAATTATAATTATAATTATAATTATAATTATAATTATAATTTTAATTATAATTATAGAAATAAATATAACTATAAATATAATTACAATTATAATTATAGCTATATTTATAACTAGTGCAATACGTATAATAATAATTATACCTATTATAATTATGTTTATAATTATAATTATAATTTTTATAATTATGATTATAATTATATTTAAATTATATATGTGCAATTAAATTTATAATTTTAGTAATTATAATTATAATTATAATTATAGAAATATTCAAATCAGATCAGATCAGAAAGATTCAGATCAGATCAGAAGGATTCAGATCAGATCAGGAACGTTCAGATCAGATCAGAAACATTCAGATAAGATCAGGAACATTCAGATCAGATCAGAAAGATTCAGATCAGATCAGAAAAATTCAGATCAGATCAGAAAGATTCAGATCAGATTAGATCAGATCAGATCGGAAAAATTTAGATCAGATCAGAACTTAAAAAATTCATATTAGAAACATTCAGATCAGTTGAAGGGAACAATTTCGCTGTTTTTGATATAATACATGATCTATTCAGTCTATCTTTAGATTTGGCGAACCTCACAAGCTGCATTTTATTTTGAACATTGTTTAAAAGGCACTTTTAAGCCTTGAGGTGTTGTGCATTGGTGAGGTGAGGCACCAGCCTTAAACTTTATAGTTTATACATGAGTAACATTTTTACAATTCAAAGGTACTTGTAATCTTAAATATATTATCAGCCATTCCCATGCATAAATATGAGTCATACATTAGTGTCACAACTCTCTCTCATATGTTTAACACAATTTAGATTTTTTTAATGTGTTATAGTTCTAAAAAAAATACTGGGGACTTGCTAGAGGGTCCTAACACAAAATCAGAACAAGTTGTTACAATAAGAAAATGGAGAATAAGTGGTTGGAGCTCAAATATTTACATATTTCGGAGCCTTTTGAATAAAAAGCTTGTTGGAAAGAAGAGAAAAATATTTGACAAATAGGTTTTCGGGATTTTGATAGGTTGAGTGACTGATTTTTGAAAAACAGTAGATCTATTTAAGACTTACTGTAATATATAATAAGGCAATATAAATCTTGAAGCTGAAAAGTAAAAGCCTCAGGCTCAAGCTTCATAATATGCCTCAAATGTCAGGCTTAAGCCTCTGTTCATTCGCTTTAGGTTTAAGTCTCAAGGCTTCTAGTGTTGTTACATTGTAATATGAGTCAAAACTATCCAACATCCGGTATTCTCCGACCTTTTAGTATTATTGTCGGATGGAAATATGAGTCAAAATCATCCAACATCCGGTACTCTCCGACCTTTTGGTATTGTCAGATTGAAATATAAGTCAAAACCATCGATCCAACATCCGGTGCTCTCCGACCCTTTAGTATTGTCAAATTGAAATATGAGTCAACCATCCAACATCCGATAGTTTACCATAATAGTTCTAACATGATGATGCATGTATAATTTGTATGGGTATATTGTGCCCGATTCCAGTCTCGAGTCTTTTTTGAGACCGCCTCTCCGAGCTTTTATTATTGTCAAATTGAAATATGAGTCAATAACCATCCAATATCGGACAGTCTAGTATAAACGTTTTGACATAATCATGCATGTATAACATGTATATTGTGCCCCATTTCCATTGAAAATGACTTTTCTCTGGTGAATGTAGAAAATATACACTTGCTTGTTTACAACTTTTATGCTCATGTGCAAGACTTTTACTCGGTGCCACACAGGAGTTTGTCATATGTAAACACATACACATAAACATAAAAGTAACGGACACACACATATTAAATGTGGGGGTCAAGAGTGATATGAGATTAAATATAGTTTCAAGAATGATTCTTTATCCATTGTTACAAATACTTCACTCAAAATGCAGAAGTGCATTGCAGGTAAAACATTGTATGCATGGTTTCGCATAATTGGTATCATCCATAGAGTGTGGAGGTTTATGCATGTGTATTCTGTGCTGTTTTGAGTCATGTTTTATTTATCACGATGTTTTTTGTTTTGTTTTGTTAGTTGGTGAATGGATTTCCTCCTGGCCATCCTGCCAAGGAATTGAATGACCTTCTCAGAACTACCGGTATTGTAGAGGATTACCGTATACTCCTCAAAGAGATGTGTGGCATTGGGACTGAAGCGACTACTTAAGTAATACTTCGTAGTATTACACGTGCTTTGCACGGAAATGCACCAATTACATATAAAATAATGTTATCATTATTTTACCATCTTCCCTCAGTCGTCTGTGTTTTAAGGAGTATGAACTTATGTATAAAGAATGGTAATATTCATTTAAAGAAAATAAAGAATTTGTATAATTAGACCATTTCTTATAAATGAAAAATGGTACTCTGTAATATTTATTTAAGATGTGAAAGTATATCTTTTTTAGTTTCAATTACGATGGAGAGTTGTACCATTGTTGAGGTAGAAAGTGTCGAACTTCCTATTCAATAAATGTGGATTTCCCAAGCTGGAAATGAAATTAAAGCATCAAACAAAATATTCTGTTGTGCAGCATAGCCAATGGTGAAGAGATGGGGAGGGGGCAGGTAGGGGCTTTGGCCTTCCCAAGATAAAATTATAATGTACTATCTGTAAATATTTATAATAGGTAAATATATGTTAATAGTGTATTTTCTAAAGTGTAACTGCATAATACTATAATAGTACAAATGTTGAAGAATACTAATGTTTAATAGTAAATTGATTTTAGATTAACTGTGTAATAGTACAAATGTTGAAGAATACTAATTTTTAATAGTAAATTGATTTTAGATTAACTGCGTAATAGTACAAATTTTTAAGAATACTAATGTTTAATAGTAGTTATTTTAGATTGATTGCATAATAGTAATTGAAGTATTTTAGAATAGAAGGGGG